ATGGGGCTCGAGGCTGGCGGGGAGCGGGCAGGGGGCGCTGGGCTAGCAGGGGGCAGGAGGCGCAGGATGGGGCTCGAGGCTGGCGGGGAGCGGGCAGGGGGCGCTGGGCTAGCAGGGGGCAGGAGGCGCAGGATGGGGGCTCGAGGCTGGCGGGGCACAGGATGGGGGCGCTGGGCTAGCGGAGCGCAGGCAAGGGATAGGAGGCGCTGCATTGGGCTCGGGGCTGGCGGGGCGTGGGCAGGGGGCTCGGGGCTGGCGGGGCGCAGGATGCGGGCTCGGGGCTGGAGGGGCGGAGGTGCCCGGGCACTGGCCGGCCAGCTGCGCCAAGCCCAGCCGGAGCGGGCCGCCTTCCCCAGAACGGGGCTTTCCCGTTTTACGGGGATGAGCTCACCGGGGCCTGTAGCCAATGAGGCGGCGGCAGCCGGCGGAGCTGGGGAATTCCAGAGCCGTCGCCTCCGCGCTGCCTCCCTTGAGCGGGGCTTTGGGGGAACGAGCCCAGCGCCGGGAGCCGAGCGCCAGGCCCCGCCATGCGGGATACCAGGGGACGGCAGCCGCGGCCGGAGGAGCTGGCTCTCCCGCGGGGTGAGGGGATGAGGGGTCGGCGCTGCTGCCAGCTCTGCGGGGCGGGGCGGGGCGGCTCCTGCCAGCCTTGGGGAGGGTCACTGGGGATTGCAGCTTGGCCCAGGGGGACCCTTAGGCCTGGGGGGGGGCGACCCCTGTGAGCGGCGGGGCGTCCGGGAGGCGCCCCGGGGAAGGTGCGGGGGCGACCCCCGGGAGATCGGCTTTGCTGTTCACGCAGCCTCCCTCGTATGAGCATCTGGGACCCTTCAGTCGCTGCTTGGTGACACCAGGCTGGCTCAGCCCCTTGCCCGCTGTGCCCGGCGCCCGGGACCCGGCAGCACTGGGCTCTCTGAGTCAGTGCTTGGTTGGGGTGAGGTTTCTCCTTGCTGTCTCTGCTCACAGCTGGAGCCTGGGGGGGGTGTTGCCTCCTTCTGGGCCAGGCGCTTGCGGGACTCAATCTTTCTGGGATCTCCCTAAGCACCTGCCACAGCCACCGGGAGCCACCTGCTGATTCCTGCCAGGTGCTGTGTCCGGTGGCAGTGGGTGGGGCACAAGGCTGGTTGCTGTTGATTGATGGGGTAACAATGTGTCCTGTCTTTTTAGGTGCTGCTCTTCCAGACCCCGGCCTGGTCATGGCGCATACAGCGCAGGCCTCTGGTAAGGGAGCTGCGATCTCAGATGAAGGTAATCCCCTTCCCCGCTAAAGCTGATAATGCTTCTGCCTTGGCTAGCGCTGTCCATGGTCCGAGCATGGAGCAGGAACAAGACCATGAATCTGTCCAGGAGCCCCATCGCTTGGGCAGCACCATTCCCCCCCATTTTACAGATGGGTAAACTGAGGCACAGAGAGAGGCCAGGCCATGTGGTGGTGGTGGGGGGGCGCGGTGGCAAAGCCGAGTTAGAAGCCAGGAGTCCAGGCTCCTGGGCCTGTGCTCATTTATGCCAACTGTACAGCCTCCCCGCTCCCATGTCTGTAGTCTCTTTCCGCCATGCCTGGCTCGGGCCTCTTGGTGCTGCTTCCCCCTCCCTTGGCAGCAGGGTCTCACTCCCCACCTTGATCTCCCAAGGGGGCTTGTGGAAAACGTGCATTTCAGTCGTGCCCCTACATTTCGTCCCACTCCCCCACAGCGGGGAGAATCTTGCACAGCTGCAGGAGTGCTGGACTTCAGCTGTCCCTTGTGCCGCTCTCTGGCTAAGGCAGAATCTCTGCAGTGTGGCATGGACCCCCCCCGCCCCCGTACCTCTCATCTGCGTCAGCACCTGTTCCTCAGCCCTCTGTCTCCTGGGGGAAGGGGCAGCTCTTGCTGGTTAAAGGCTCAATTTGTACTTTTACTGCAGGCTGAGCGGTGCCAGCAATCCCACGGGGCTGAAACTGCTACATTGCTCCCTGGAGCAGTCCGGTGCCCCTTGAAATAGGAGCGTCCCCCGGCATAGGGACCACCACAGTGCTCATGCACTTTCTCTGGGCTCTGCTGTTGTATTGTCTCCAGCTGAGTGGGTGGAAGCCTTTACTCAGCCCCTCTAATGTGGGGGGCGGGCTGGTTTGAGACGTAAACGTTTAAACATCTGAATCAGAAACACTCTTGCTTTGTTTTTCCTTTGCAGATGAATTAGGTGAGTGGACTCTGGGGAATGGGGGTACAGCAACCTCAGGTAAGTGCAAGTGCTCTAGGCCCATGCGAGTGCAGACTCAGTGCATGGAACCCTGGCTGGAGCAACGGGGGCAGATATCATGTAAGTGTGGTCTGCAGTGGGAGGGGCAATGCAAGGCACAGCCTGCTGTCCTTCCTCATGCACCCTCCCCATGAAGTCAATTCCAGGGCTTCAGCATTGGGCCCAAAGAGCAGGTAAGGGAATACCTGGGAAATGGGACCACATACAAGCCAACAGCTTGCAGGCATGCCTCCTGCAGCATTCCAGGAATCCACCTGCACGCTTTCCAAACCACCGAGGGACCTGGCAGCCAGGAGAACCGCGAGGGTGCTACAAAGCTCACACACGCTGAGAAGAGTGATCTCATCAGTTACCATTCCATACAGCCAACATCTACCACTAGGAAAACAGTGGGACGTCCTGGAATATGAGAGGCAAACAAGTACGTTAGGAATGCTTGGCCTTCACCTCCGCACCTGGCTCCTCAGCCAGTTTAAAAAAATTTTTTTTTAATTAATGGAGGTATACTATCTCCTAGAACTGGAAGGGACCTTGAAAGGTCATCAAGTCCAGCTCCCTGCCTTCACTAGCAGGACCAAGTACTGATTTTGCCCCAGATCCCTAAGTGGCCCCCTCAAGGATTGACCTCACAACCCTGGGTTTAGCAGGCCAATGCTCAAACCACTGAGCTATCCCTCCCCCCTTTCTGGCCATGGTATGACGTTTGTAGCCAAAAAGCCACTGCCCTAAGCAAATACCAGCTTCGTGCCCATGAGAGAGAAGAGGCAGTTCTTACCCTGGCACAGGCTGTCTCTTTAAGGCGGGACCCACAATTAAGGGGGCTCTGTCAGAAACTGGGTTAGGACTTAAAAAATTAATTGGTTAGTTTCAAAAAAAGGAGATTAATGTCCCTTGAATGGAGGTTCTGACCTAGCGGTAAAGCAGAGTGGAAGCTCTAGCGTTGTTCTCTCCTTACACTCTCTTAGGCTGATGCTTCTCAGTATGGCCTGGTCCGTACGCAGGGTTGCACCTGTTTAGCTGAAGACATGCCACAAAGTGCAGTGTTTGTGTGGGGACACTGATGTTAGGTTCCGCCTGGTTTAGCTCGCACTGATGCCAGCCAGGTTGAGACTGAGGGTGGAAGAGGGTCTGCACGCAGAGTTGCACTGATGTCTCCAACCTGATACAGCGTCACACCTTTACCTGAACTGGTGCGACAGGGGCCTTTTTCATAGATTCCAAGCACAGAAGGAACCATTGAGATCATGTAATCTGACCTCCTGTATACCACAGGCCAGAGGCTGCAAGGCGCCCGGGGTGCTAGGGCTGCAGAGAGGTTGGGCGGGTTGTTCTAGTGGGGGTGGTGCCTGAGTGTTAGGACCATGGGGTGGGCAGGTGGGCAGGCCAGCCGATTGGGTGAGGGACCTGGGTGCTAGGGCTGTGGGCTGGCAGGCCTAGTTGGTAAAGCATCTGGGCGATAGGGCTGTGGGGAGGGTGGGCCGATCAGGTGAGATGCCTGTGAGCTAGGGCTGTGGGGAGGGTGGTCTCACTGGGCGAGGTGCCTGAGTGCTAGGACTGCAGGGAGGGCAAGGCACCTGGGCGCCATACCTGCGGGGAGGGTGGGTCCATTGGGCGAGGTGCCTGGGCACCAGGGCTACATGGAGGGTGGGCCCATCAGGCAAAGGGCCTGAGCACCAGGGCTGGGGGTGGGAGGTGGGCCCATCAGGCAAGGTGCCTGAGTGACGTGGCTGCTGGGAGGACAGGCTGATCAGGTGTGGCGCCCAGGCCCCAGGGCTGCGGGGAGGGCGAGGTGCTTTGGCCCCGGAGGGTGGGCCAATTGGGTGAGGCACCTGCATGCTAGGGCTGCAGGGAGGGCAAGGCACCTGAGGTGCCAAGGCTGCGGGGAGGGCAGGCTGATCGGTGAGGTGCCCACATGTTAGGGCTGCGGGGAGGGCAAGGCCCATCGGGTGAGGCACCTGGGCATCAGGGCTGTGGGTAGGGTGGGCCGACCTAATGCATGAGGTAAGTGAGCGAGGGGCAGGGATGCTTAGGCAAGTGCTGTGAAGCATCTTGGCTAGATTCCCTGCTGCTTGGCGCGTGAGCAGTCGCTGACTTCAGCGTAAAGTGGCCAAGTGTTATTCTTCAGTCAGGACTGGGGTGTTTCTGAGAGACCTGCTCTAGCTCGAACAGCAATGAATTCAGGGAAGCCCTGTGGCCCGTGTTACATGGGAGGTCAGACTGGATGTGCAGGATGGTCCCTTCTGGCCTCACACTCTTGGTCTCTGTGAAGGCAGGTGTGAAACGCTCTCCGAGCGGAGCAGGAGCACTCTGCTCTGGTGTGGCTGGCGCAGGCCCTGCAGGGCAGCGACGAATCGGGCCCATTGCTTTTTGGTATCACCCGTGTATGTCCACTCACTCGCGCACGCACAGAGTGAGCGCAGTACAAAGCTCTGAACCCTGGGGATCTGTTGCCTTGTTTGCCGGGGCTGGCCCAGTGGTGGCCCTGCAGCGGTGCATGGCTCCTCTCGGAGGGTCCCTCTTCCTGCGTGTGCACATGGAGGCAGGGCATTCAGAACAAGATCAGTTTAGGCCTGCCCTTTCCTCGGGTCTTGCTAGGGCAGTAGTGAGGGTGGAGGTTGGCCCATCATGGCTCTCCTCCAGCCCATTCCTAGCAGGAGGCCAGCCCGTCCTCCTGTCTCACTCTCTGGTTCTGTCCCCGTCCTGCAGAAATCATCGAAGAGTTAATTAAGGAGGATGGATTCCAGCCACAAGCCCCGCCCTTCCTCTCCAAGGCGTCTCCCAAGGGCACGGCCAAGCTGGTGCCCAGGGGCTCAAACCCAGCCGGGCCCACTCGGATGCTGAGGCTAATGGAGCCGACCGGACCTAGCCCACTGCCAGGCGGCTTGGCCTCCTTTGGCAGCTCCCATCCCGCCGCGGCTCACGCCCTGCCCCTGGACTCTCAACCTCCCCTGCTCTCGCAGAGCCTCAGTAGCCTGCAACTGACGCCCAGGCTGGTGCCCCGGGGGACAACTCCGCCCCCTGCCAGCCGGCCCCACTGGGCTTCGCCCATGCGCTCGCCAAAGGAGCAGTTGGAAGACATGCTGGAGCCTCCCAGGCTGGTGATCACTGAGCAGCCGAAGCAGCGGGGGATGCGTTTCCGCTATGAGTGCGAAGGCAGGTCAGCCGGCAGCATCCTGGGCGAGAGCAGCACGGAGGCCAGCAAGACCCTGCCAGCCATCGAGGTGAGTGTGGGGGAGGAGCAGGGGCCAGTCTCCTCACAGCGGGGAAAGGGGCTGGGGGAGGGCCAGGGCCAGCCTTGGGCTGCCTGTGCCTCATGTGTCCCTTAGTGCCCCCCTCACAGGAGAGGCAGGGACCGGGGACTTGCCCCACTCCCCTCGCTCTCTCCCTGGTTCTTGGCGCCCCACTGAGGTTGGGGGGCGAGGGATGGGAGGGATACCAAGGGCGCTGGCTGCCAAACCCAGGGATGGGAGGGATACCTGTGGGCTTGGAAGGGCCCTGTGGCTGCCAAACCCTGCCTCTCTCTGCACCGTCCTGGCCAACCTAGCATCGCCGCTGGTGGTGGCCATCCGGGGTCCTTCGCCCCCAGTGGCCAGGCTCTGCCCTCGGATGATCTCTGTGGGGTTTGTTGCCATTTCACGCTGTGGCAGCCAGGATCCCTGGCTGGAAAGTGGAGCTGGGCAGCCCAGCGGGCGCAGGGTCGCTTGCAGGCTCTGAGCCGCCGTGCCTTGAGCTCTGCCCCCTGTGGAGAGGGGCGGGCAATTTACTGGGCAGGGTTAATTACACATTGAATCCAGAGCCTGGTCTCTCACCCCCTTGGCGTGGCGGGGGACTCCCAGCGTGGCCTGGGCTCTGATCTTGTGCTCTTTCCCCAGCTGCTGAACTGCCAGAAGTTCCCCGAGGTGAAGGTGATTGCGTGCCTGGTGTGGAAGGACTGGCCCTACCGCATCCACCCTCACAGTCTCGTGGGGAAAGACTGCAACAACGGGCTCTGCGAGGTCACCCTGAGGCCCCAGGTCAACCCCAAACACAGGTACCAGCTCCCCGCTCGGCACAGGAACTCCAGGCTGTGAGCTGGTGCTGACAGAGCTCCCGTGGGGACAGGGCCTGCCGCTCGCAGCTGGACGCTGCGCTCCCCCTCGCCCTCTCTGCGAGGCTGAAGGGCTTTGAGGAACGCCCACACTGGTGGTTTCAGGGTAGCGGTTACTCCCCAGAGGGCTCCCCGCATGATCTCCCCCTCCCCCACCATGTGATCAGCACCCAGTGTCCCCTTGGGGCAGAGTGGGACATCTCAGGCCACATCAACTGAGCCGCTCCAAACCTCTCAGTTACTAAGAACGGCCATACTGGGTCAGGTCAAAGGTCCATCTGTGACAGAGTCACAGGTCTGGTGCTCTGGCACTGCTGTGTATAAAGTCAGACAGGACTCTGGGTAGCGTGACTCCCCTCAGGGCACGCTGTCCGGGGCAAGGAGCCTCTTCGGCTACGGCCTTCCTGGTCTGACCTTGGACCATTCAGTATCCCTGTTCACACCATACACTTCCCCTTGGTGGGTCCATCTGGACGGGACCCCTGGGGAAGCCAGAGGGTCCTGCTCCCCCACTCCACAGTCAGCAGTGACTCTCAACCAGCGTTTGTAAAACAGGTTTATTAGTCGACAGGAACACAGCATAGAACAGAGCTTGTTAGCACAGAAATCAGAGACTTTCAGCAAAGTCCATCTTGGGGGACCCCAGGCTGGACGTCCTGGACTCCCCCCTCCGAGTCCCAAACAGGAGACTGCCCAGCTTCCAGAGACCCGACCTCCGACATGCCCGTTGCCCCTCCTTCGGTCTTTGTCTCACTTCCCGGGCAAAGTGTCACCTGGTTGCATCCTCCGCCTGGGTCTCAGGTCACGAAGGGCATCGGCCATCACTTATGTACAGGCAGCTGGAGCCTCTTCACCTGGCCCCGAGGGTCTCAGCAAAAGTCACCCACCCTTATTCCCACCACCTAGGCATTGGTGCAATACACAGGGAAACTGAGGCACACACAGTATTCATGCAAAACAGTAAGACTCAGATAGGCTCGCGTGCAACATAATAAGGAAAAAAACTCCACTTTGTCACATCTCTCCCCCCCTTGAGACCGAACTGAGCGGGATCACTCTAGCTAGTGACCTGGGGAAGTTCAGGCCTCCTTCGCTGGGACAAAGCATCGGCTATAACATTCGCACTCCCCTTAACATGGGCCACCCCCGTCTCATAATCCTGGAGGGACAGACTCCACCTCAGGAGCTTGGCATTGGCCCTCTTCATCTGGTTCAGCCACAGCAGGGGCAAGTGGTCAGTGGACACAGTGAAGTGACGCCCAAATAGATCCGGCTGCTGACTTTTAAGAGCCCACCCCATGGCCAGGCATTCCTTCTCTATGGCCGAATAGCTCTGCTCCCAGGGCAGCCGCTTCTTGCTCTGGTACATGATGGGGAGTTTTTCCTCCTTCGCATCAGCTTGCATTGGCACCAAGCCCAGCCCGATGTCTGAGGCGTTGGTGAACACCATAAAGGGCTTGTCAAAGTCTGGGTTTACCCGCACCATGCCCTTGACCAGATCCTCCTCCAGCACGCAGAGAGCCCTCTGGCACTGCTTGGTCCAGACAATCTTGTCTGGCTTATCCTTCTTGCATAGATCAGTGATGGGAGCTGACACAGAGCTAAGTGGGGCACAAACCTCCGGTAGTGCCCCGCCATCCCAATAAAGGCCTGGACCTGTTTCTTAGTCTGGGGCACAGGGCAATCTCTGATCACCTCCACCTTGGCTGGCTCTGGCTTTAGGCAGTTGCTCCCCACCTTGTGGCCCAGGTACGGCACCTCTGCCATCCCCACCTTGCATTTTCTGGCCTCTATACTCAGTCCTGCCTCCTAGAGGCGACCCAACCCCCTCTTCACCTGGGACACATGGTCCTCCCAGGTCTGGCCAAAGACACAGATATCATCAATATATGCTAGGGTAAAATTTTCCATCCCCCTCAGTAACTGTTCCCCCAGATGCTGGCAGGTGACCAACGCCTCCTTGAGGCTGAAAGGTAGGACCAGGGATTCGTATATTCCCAAAGAGGTGACAAAAGGAGGTTTCAGCCTGGAATCTGGATCCAAAGGCACCTGCCAGTAGCCTTTGGTGAGATCATTGGTAGTGGGGTAGACCCCCACAACTTGTCTAGGATCTGTCAGACCTAGGCATGGGCAGGCACCAGACATGGTGATGGCATTGAACTTCCGATAGTCCACACAGAATCAGATCGACCCATCTTTCCTGGGGACCAGCACCACGGGTGAGTCCTGGGGCTGGATCACCCCTAAAGCCAGCATGTCTCTGGCTTCTCTCTCCAGGGCCTGGGCTGTGTTCCCAGTGACTCTGAATGGGAAACATCTGATGGGAAGATTGGCTCCTGTCCCCACACAGTGGACAGCTAGGTTAATGAGTCCAGACCAGTTGGAGAACAGCTGAGGGTAGATACACAGCACCTCTCTGATCTCTGCCTGCTGGGCAGGGGTTAGCTGGGTAGAGAGGGGAATTGATTCTAGTGGGTCCTGTCTCAGGGAACAGACCCACTAGGGCATCCTCCCCCTTCTCCTCTCACTGCCCACACACGGCCAGTACAGACTTTTCCTTGTCCCAGTACGGCTTCATCATGTTGACATGGTCCCCTCGGCGGCTGTGAGCCCAGTTGGGCAGTTCTACCATATAGTTCACCTCATTCAGCTGGGTGATGACTTTAAAAGGCCTATCCCAGGCAGCTTGTAGTTTATTCTTCCGCACCGGGATGAGAAACATCACCTGGTCCCCAGTAGCATAGGAGTGGGCACGTGCCGTGCAGTCCTACTATAACCTTCTGCCTCCCTTGGGCCCTGGCTAGGTTCCCCCTGGCCAGACCCATGAGCTCAACGAACTTTTCCCGAAAATTTACTGTTCACTCCACCACTGATTCTTCATCGGGAGAGGCCTTCCCCTCACCAAGTCCAGGGGTCCCCTCACTCTCCTCCCTTACAGCAACTGCAAAGGAGAGAACCCATGGGTTCCTGGGCCACTTCCCTGCACGCGAGCAGCAGGTGGGGTAAATACTTGTCCCAGTCCTGCAGATGCTGGTCCATGAAAGTCTTCAGCATCATCTTCAAGGTCCTGTTAAACCTCTCCGCCAGCCAATTGGATTGAGGGTGAAAGGCGAGGCCCAGGTGTGCCAGACCCCACACTTCTCCCACAAGCACTGGAGCGGGGCTGACATGAAATTGGACCCCTGGTCTGTAAGGACCTCCTGGGTTAACCCCCCTCTGCTGAAGATGGTCAGCAGCACAGTAACCCACCAGAATGTATTTCTTCCCTGACCGGGTCGGCTTGCTGAGGGGCCCCACTATGTCCATGGCCACCTTCTGAAAAGGCTGCTCTATGACAGGCAGGTGTCTCAAGGCTGCTTAACCTTGTCCCGGGCCTTCTCCACCCTCTGGCAGCAGTCGCAGGACCTGCAGTAGTGCTGGACTGCGTCAAAGGCTCCAGGCCAGTAAAAGTTCTGTAGCAGCCTCTGCCTGGTGTGCTGGATTTCCAGGTGTCCCAAAAGAGGGACATTGTGGGCCAGTTACAGAAGCCTGTGGTGGTACTTCTGAGGCACCACCAGCTGCCTCCTGATCCCCTACAGTTCCATTTCCCCTGGATGGTACAGGAATCCCTTTTCCCACAGGAGTCTTTCCCTGCAGCCTTCCTAAAGGGGTTTCGCCGTGCTGTGGCCAGCAAGTTCCCTCAGCTTCTCTAAGGAGGGGTCCTTCTGCAGCTCAGCCTGGAATTCAGCGGCTGGAGAGAGAAGTGAAACCAGTTCCCTCTCACTGCCTGCAGTCACAGCCCTCCAGCCTGGAGCACTGGGATTTGGGCTCTCTTGGTGAAGAGCCTCCATCTTGATCTTGGCCACCCTCTGACCAGGCGTCTGTCACCAGCAGCGCCCTTTTAGCTGCTTCCCCCTGCCCTGGGGCCTCTTGCATCTCTGGACAAGGCAGCCCTGGTTGGCAGCCATCCCACCCTGGCTGTGGTTCCCCACACTCAGCTGGGGTCTCTGATCCCCCCCTGGGCTCAGCTTTGCCCCTGCTGTCCCAGCGGGGCAGGCAGCGAGCCCACTGCTTTGCTCACAGCATCAGAGCCAGCATGAGCCACCTCCCCCTTGTGCAGGGGGGCGGGGAGCATCTCTCTGTCCCACTCAGCTTCAGTTTCAGCCGATTGGTTCCCTGAATTCAAACTCGTATCCTTGGCTGTTACAGGAGCAGGGCCTGGATCCTGTCCCAAAGAGAGACAGTCATCCCCCAACAGGATGTCACAGCTAATATCTTGGAGAACCCCAGCTACCAGCCAGCCCGACCCCTCCTGTGTCTGCACAGGGATCTGAGCCATATCAGGGCAAGGGGCTTCATCCCGGGGACCTTCACCCAGGTCACACAGCCCCTCAGCATCTGTGGCTGCACCATCCGTGGCCTGACAACAGTTCTCTCTGCCCCAGGATCTTGCCACCCCAGGAGTGTCTCCTCATTGACCACCACCTTCCGCTCCCACTGGCGGACTGAGGGGCCTGAACCCAGGAGAGTGCAAGCAGATATACACACTGGGGCTGGGAATGGGAGCTAGTCTGCCACACCGCCCATCTGGCTAAACAGCTCTATGGGGACTCAGAAAGGGGCTAGACACTGGTGCCTTTCTGCAGGGTCAGCCTGGTTTCAATTGCAAGACTTCCCAAAGGCTGCGAGACAGGCATCTATATCCCCCCCCCCCAATTTAGTATTGAGGCAGTTCCTTGCGGAATTGGCACCCTGGGGTCCATCCCCACTCACCCCTGGACGGTGCCTCTCAGCTCCACCAGCGCCAGTTCATGCTGCCGCTGTCTCTCCTGCAGTTCTGCTTCATGCCTTCCCTGTCTCCCACAGTCCTCTGACTCCTTCAATCTCAGTTCCAATTCCATCCGTCTCAGATCCACCGACGGGGAACCCGGTGGAGACTCCCAGCTGGTCCGGAGACACAAGTCTCTGGCTGCTCCCATTCTCTTTGGTGGCTCCAGCTGGGTCCAGAACCGGTGCGGGCTCTGGGGCTACCTGGCAGCTCCCAAGTTGTCACGGACTCTCAGGCCTGAGCTTTCTCAGCTCCCCATGGTCCCTGGGAGGAATCCCCTTCAGTGTGACAGTCCTTCTTGGGGGTCACAACCTCTCTCGGGGGTTAAGCCGTAGGCTTCTCTGTCTCCTGGAACTGCACCTCTCTGAGCCTTCAGCACGCCTGTCTCTGTCTCTCGCTAATCCCCGTCCTTTTACTGCTCCCCAGTTACTTATTGCAGGATGCTCTGTCCAGGGGGTGCAGTTGATCACACCGCTGCCACCAGTTGTGACGGGGTCACAGGTCTGATGCTCTGGAACTGCTCTGTATGAAGTCAGCCAGGACGCTGGGTAGCGTCACTCCCCTCAGGGCATGCTGTCCAGGGCCCTCGGCTACGGCCTTCCTGGTCTGACTTCGGACCATTCAGCATCCCTGTTCGCACCGTACACTTCCCCTTGGCGGGTCCACCTGGATGGGACCCCTGGGGAAGCCAGAGGGCTCTGCACCCCCACTCCACAGCCAGTGACTCTCAACCAGCGTTGTAAAACAGAAGGTTTATTAGTCGACAGGAACACAGAGTAGAACAGAGCTTGGTAGCACAGAAATCAGTGACTTTCAGGAAAGTCCATCTTGAGGGACCCCCAGGCCAGACGTTTTGGACTCCCTCCTCCAAGTCCTAAACAGGAGACTACCCAGCTTCCAGAGACCCGATGTGCCCGTTGCCCCTCCTTCGGTCTTTGTCTCGCTTTCCGGACAAAGTGTCACCCCCGCCTGGGTCTGAGGTTACGAAGGGCATCGGCCATCACTTACGTGCAGACAGCTGGAGCCTCTTCACCTGGCCCCGAGGGTCTCAGCAAAAGTCACCCACCCTTATTCCCACCACCTAGGCATTGGTGCAGCAAACAGGGAAACTGAGGCACACACAGTATTCATGCAAAACAGGAAGACTCACATAGGCTCACTTGCAACATAATAAGGAGGAAAAACCCACTTTGTCACACCATCTATCCCAGTGTCCTGTCTTCCAACAGTGGCCAATGCCAGTGCCCCAGAAGGAATGAACAGACCAGGTAATCATCAAGTGATCCATCCCCTGTCGCCCATTCCCAGCTTCTGGCAAACAGAGGCCAGGGACACCATCCCAGCCCATCTTGGCTAATAGCCATTGATGGACCTATCCTCCATGAATAGACACTGGTGCCCCTAAGCAGCTCGTTAACCTGATTGCGGCCAATGGGGCAGCTGAGGTGAGATCTCCCCACTCTGGGGCTTCTGCCATTGTCCTGGTCTGGTGACAGAACAGTCCTCTCCCTGTCCCAGAAGTACTGCCTGGGCTGGAGCCCACCACATTGCCCAGCCCTCACCAGATGGGAAAAGCTGACCCCTAGCACAGCGGGTCTCAGCCAGGGGCCCGGGAGCCTCTGGGGGACCGTGAGCAGGTTTCAGGGGGTCCGCCAAGCAGGGACAGTGTTAGACTTGTTCGGGCCCAGGGCAGAGAGCCAAAGCCTCGCCCCATGGGGCTGAAGCCTGGGGCAGAAACTGAATCTTCAGCAACGTAGCTTCGTAGGGGCCCCTGTGGTAGGGGGCCCCAGGCAATTGTGCTGCTTGTATCCCCTAACGCCGGTTCTGACTTTTATATGCAGAAAACCAGTTGTTGTGGCACAGGTGGGCCATGGAGTTTTTATAGCATGTTGGGGAGGGGCCTCAGAAAGAAAAAGGTTGAGAACTTCTGCTCTAGCAAACTGCCCCAGAGCTGGAGGTGGGGGGGTGGGACTTCCTTCAGTTCAGAGGAAGTTAATTAGGCATCTGTTCAAGCTAAGCCAAAGTGAGGTACCCTGACATGACACCAGAGAATCCGCATGAGGACTGCTCAGATCTCAGTGACCCATGTTCCCATGAGAGCACTGGGAGCACCATTGGCACTGCCATGCAGGCATGTCCCTCCCTGGCGTGGATGCCCTGATTCTGGGACAAGAGCGGCCTTGTCCTAGGGCAGCCACACCCAGAGCACCCCCTTTTCCGGCCATGGCACAAGGGCACCTGCTTCAGTTTCCCCTCTCAGGTAATCCAATAACTTCACTTCAGGCTTTTCTCGCTCAATAATACCCCTCCTTGGGGCTGATTTATTACAAAAATCCCAACAGAAGTTTTATATTCCATTTCCCATACACAGGGAGATGTGGGAGGGGGGCACAGACATCCGCATGTTTCTGTCTCTGTTAAGGTGCAGGCCACTCCCTGGCAGGCTCTGGGCACCATAAGTGAAAGCCTAAGAGAAGCAGCGTCATGCCAATCTCCTGACTCCGATGGAAGGGTTGCTTTGGCTGAAAGGGGGGTGATGCCCAGGCCTTCCCGGGGCTGTGGTCCCAGGTGGTGGCACTTCCTGTGCGGAGGTGGGGTTCCTCTCGCATGGCCCCCAGCTTCTCCAACACATCTCCCCTTTGGTTCCCGGCAGTTTTAACAACCTTGGCATCCAGTGCGTGAAGAAGAAGGAGATCGAGGCAGCCATAGAGAAGAAGCTGCAGCTGGGGATCGATCCATTTAAAGGTGCGTGGCCCCAAGGAGCCCTGCCTGCCAGGCAACTCCATCATGAAGTTAGATGGGTCAGGTACTGGATCAGGGTGTGACGGGTTGTCAGTTTGGGAGCCCCGGGAACCATTGCACCCCTTTAACCTCCCAGCTTGGTCAGGGACAGAACTTGGTCCTGCTAGTGAAAGCAGGGGACTGGACTCAATGACCTTTCAAGGTCCCTTCCAATTCTGTGAGATTGGTATATCTCCATATATTTTATTTTAAAAATGATACATGCATACCGATAGGATAATCATATTCAGCACATCATAACTTCTCCAATGACACCTGACATGACCCAACTCGTACAAAATGCATCATAATTATGCCATAAGGATGGATCCTTCTGCAGCTCAGTCTGAAATTCAGCTGCTGAGGAAGGGAGTGGAACCTGGCTCCACCTGCTGGCTGGGGCTGGGGACACAGCCCTCGCTGGCTGTGCCTCAGTTTCCCCACTTTGGGACAAAGCTCTTTCCCCAGTTGGAGGCTCCTGAGCCCCTTGCTGGGTAGTCTGCCTGGCACCAGGGCAGGGTGGCCCTCTCTGGGTAAGGACCAGGGCACTCTGGGTGCTGCCCGACCAGTCCTCCAAATCATTCCCCATCAGCACCTCCAATTGTTCCCACATCAGATCCCAGACAGCTAGGTGTTAGTCACACCTGGATCTCTGGGACTCTGCAAAGAATAAACAGCCTTCCCCGCCACCCCCAGTTAACCATGCAGCACATAGGGGAAACTGAGACACACACAGTAGTCATACAAAACATGAACAATTCCCACTTTGTCACAAATACATTTCAGAACAAAGAACTCAAGCCACACTTACAGGATGGGGGACTCTATCCTGGGAAGCAGCGACTCTGAAAAAGATTTGGGGGTCATGGTGGAGAATCAACTGACCATGAGCTCCCAGTGCAATGCTATGGCCAAAAGGGCTAATGCGATCCCGAGATGCGTAAACAGGGCATATCGAGTAGGAGGAGAGAGGTGATTTTACCTCTGTATTTGGCACTTGTGTGAATGCTGCTGGAATCCTGTGTCCAGTTCTGGTGCCCACAGTTCAAGAAGGATGTTGATAAATTGGAGAGGGGTCAGGGAAGAACCACAAGAATGATTAAAGGATTAGAAAACCTGTCTTAGAGTGATAGACTCAAGTTGCTCAACCTGTTTAGCTTAACAAAGAGACGGTTAAGCGGTGACTTGATCACAGTCTATAAGTACCTACATGGGGAACAAATAGTTAATAATGGGCTCTTCAGTCTAGCAGAGGAAGGTCTAACACGATCTGATGGCTGGAAGTTGAAGCTAGACAAATTCAGACTGGAAATAAGGGTACGTTTTTTTCACAGTCTGGGTAATTAACCATTGGAACAACATACCGAGGGGCGTGGCGGATTCTCCGTCACTGGCCATATTTAAATCGAGATTTGATGTTTTTCTGAATAATCTGCCCTAGGAATTACTTTGGGGCAGTTCTCTGGCCTCCTTTGTACAGGAGGTTGGACTCAATGATCGTGATGGTCCCTTCTGGCCTTGGAATCTAGGACTCTGACTCTGAGAGGTGGGACTTTAAACCCCCCCCCCCCCGCCCAATCTCACAAGAGTTGGCAGCACTGTTTTTGCCCCTCCTCATTGGCTATCACATGGGGTGGGAGCTGTGGGGGAGGAGTCCGCTGGCCAGTGGGAATGCATCATTGGACCACACTAGGCTAAAGATTGGTGTCCTTTGGTTCTACCTCCCCTGTGGTGAGAGGGTGGCTGGAGGAGACAGACTCCAGTCCCTAGCTGGCCTGGCTGTTTGTTTGTTCTTTGTTCTCCCATAATGCCAAGGGGTCCCAGTCATACACCAAGAACCAGAAGGTCCTGCCCCAAGGACCTTACAGTCTAAGTACAAGCCAAGAGGCAGCCTGTGGATACAGACAGACGGGGGAGCACAAGGAAATGGGGGTCTCTGCACACACCCGCAGCCTAACTGGTGTCAGTTGTCTGTAGGCATCACGCAGAGGAGGGATTTGCAGGAGGACAGTGAAGGAGCTTTGGGGATGTGTACAGGGAGCTGCTCCCACGGGTGAGGGCAGCAGGTGAGAGAGTAGGAAGGGGTTTGTCTGAAGATGTCACCAGTGGGGGATGGAGGCTGGCATCATGGGCCGGTAGGAGGTGAGCATCGACAGCTCAGCTGTGAATGAGGGATGATAGTTATGGGGGGCGGGGGACAGGCTGGGAAAGGCCTTGGTGAAGACGAGCAGCATGTGGGATGCCGTAGAGCAGGGGCAGCCGGTGGAGGGATGCCAAGAGAGGGGTGACGGGGGCAAAGCAATGGGCTGGGAGAATGAGCTTTCTGCACGGCACGGAGCAGCATTCTGCACAGCACGGAGCAGAGCGAGGATGCACTTGTCGAGGCCGGAGAGAAGGATGTTGAGGTGTTCAGGACGCGAGATGCTGAGAGCCTGGAGGAGCTTTAGCTCTGGAGGGATAGGAAAGGCCGGATCTTCGAGATGTTCTGCAGAAGGAATTGGCAAGACTTGGATGCGTCCTGGCTTGGGTCAGCTTGGGGCATAGCCCTGAGATGGCTTTCCAAACTCTGTAAGGGCGCTCTCCTCCTGTTCTCTCTCTGCAGCTGGCTCCCTGAAGAATCACCAGGAGGTGGACATGAACGTGGTGAGGATCTGCTTCCAGGCCTCGTACCAGGAGCCCTCAGGACAGATCCGGCACCTCAGCCCCGTCCTCTCCGAGCCCATCTTTGACAAGAGTAAGTAGCTGGACTGTGGCAGGGGAGGGCGGGGCGGCGTGGAGCGATGCAGGGGGCCATGGTGATGCCAGAGGAGGGAACGTGGCCGAGCCCACTTGCCCTAGGATGACAGAGTGCTGGGCAGAGGGCAGGGTCAGCCCTGCAGCCATGTCCCGGCACGTCTGGACACCCAGCCTGGGCGGGGGACTGCGGGGTGGTGGAGTGTTTTAGAGGGAAATTGAGGAAAAGGAAACTCACTGCAATAGCTCAGCCTGCCCTGGCTGAGTGAGGGAAGTGTCACTAGGCCGGAACCTGCCAGGGCCCTGGGCCCTGGCTGAGAGAACCGGGCTGGGCAGCCGAGTGCTGCGCGGGCTGTTTGTATTGCTGTGGTGTGTGTGTTCGGGGCATGGTTTCTATTGCAGCGGTGCCAGGGTGGGGCTGGGCAGCCCTGTGCCGGACGGGCTGTTTGGGGCAGGGCTGGTATTGCAGCGGTGCCATGCAGGGGGTGAGCAGCTCTGTGCCGGACGGGCTGTTTG